ATGAATTATTTGTGTTGTTATTACAAGTGTTGCTGTGACCCCCTAGGAAAAGGTTATGCCCCGCCCTGTACAAAGCCTTACATGGCATGAGCCAAGGGTATTTGAAGGACTCTGTTACTCCCATAATTTTTAACAATCCATTAGTTTTGGCAAGACGGCATACCTAATTGCCTCAGGGTCCCATATATTAGGGATTGTTATCTAGTGAGATTCAAGAAACATTCCTTTTCCATAGCTGTGTCTGCTTTCTGGAACACCACATTGCCCAGGGTTTGATTGGCCCAGGCTCTGCTTGCTTTTTGGAAAACCTTATAAACTTGTTTTCCAAGGCATGAGGGCCAGGAAAGTAATTGAGCCCAAACTATTAATGAATGGTGTTTTGGAGAGCTGTTTATTGTATTTTAATTCTTGTTAGCTCCTGTCAATCACATTAGTGAGATGGTTGGCCAAATAAATAAATTAGGCACAGTCCCTGAGGAATATAGACTCAGCTGGGAAAAAGTAGTCATTCAAATTATCTTGGGTCCACTGTGAACCATATACGGTAGGCCTTTATAGTTAAAAGAAAAAAAAATCCCTAATTGAGTTTTTTTAAACAATATATTCATTGCTTTTTAAAAGTTTAATTCAAGATAACAGCTTTCCTGAATAGGATTCAACTATTTCTATAGAAGACACAAAATAAGAGATAGAACAAGGACCACACAATATAATTATCTCTTTTTAGGAACTTTTTTTGCACTCAAATCATAAAACATTTTGCTAGTGTTTTACTACAGTATATTACATTGAGTTGATGCAACTTTCTCTTATATAATTATTTTATAGAGGGCCTCAAGCCTTATGTTTTTTTCCAAATATTTATTTGAATATTTGTTGATGAAAAAAAATAATTTTGTTATTATATGCAGAGCTTTACATTTTGTTATTTGTTCTCTTTGTAGTAGTTCCATCTTGTACAAATACTGTGAATAGTGTGAGAAAACATTGATTAACTAAGTATGTTAAACCACAACTTAAAGTTTTCTGAGTTTTCTAAAGTTTTTTGATTCATGCAACAAATTCAACCAACTATTATAATTTAGGGCAATGTGTGAATCCAGTTTGGGCTATAATTCATGGCTTATTAATATGTGTGAATCAGGATACTATCTCCTATTACACAAATAGTACATTGCTGTGGTGTATTTAACCAACTAGAGAGGGGGAGCTACATTTTGGATGGGAGATAGTTAAAGACTACAGTGGGCATAAGCAATGATTTCACCAGAATGTGGATAGCTGAGGTTTTTAGTACAGTACTTTTATCATATTTTTACGCTTTCATTAAAAAAACAGCTTTACATAACTGTTGTTTTTAAAGTCTTTTTGTTGTATTGCAAAATTTTAGTAGAAGACATATATATTAGCAAATATATATTAGCAATTTGCTGACCAGTTTATAGTTTAGTTTAATTTAATTTAGTTTATTGTCATTGTACCTCATACAATGAAATTACCGTAAATGCCATCTTCAATTAGGCATAGGTCATAAAAAAAGAGGCCTGGGGGGGGGTCTCAGATGCTTCATGGGTTGCTTGCTTCTTAACCAAACCAGAAAGATTCTAGGACTCATTTCTTCAGTTATTCGCTAGTGTAGCTACAAAGCTTTTATTTTAATTATAGTTTGTCAGATATGTCAGATCCCAGAACTATAGTTTTCATGGAAACAAGCCAGTTTTAGATTCTTAACTATGAAACAGGAAAAAAACCACCAATATTTAAAGATAACAATTCAGTTTTTTGCAAATGGAAAGCAATAACTAATCTCAGAATCATGTTGAAATAGGAAACAAGGAAAAAAGTCTGAGGTTTGCTGTAGGTAAAATCTGTCATGATAAACATGGTTAATATCTGAGCTGCTCTAAGGACTAAGTTCTGATACATTTTTAACAATGCAATTCCTAATCCAGAAGTATTACTTTGAAGATTCATGTTTATCATTACTTGTTGACTGTCTTGTTCAGTAGATTGAGCACCAAAGTCTTCAGAAGGAATTCATTAATATGTTTTTCTTTCTCTGTCTAGTATCTCAGGGAAGATTGTAATATAACCTGATTTAATTTTGTCTTAACAAAAGTGTTTTTTGAGCACTTTCTAGTAAAAGGAAGTATCTGGATTCACACATCAGTATGCTGTACTTAACTTTGGCTTATTAAGTAATTATAATGGCCAAGTTAATTTTATGTAATACTGAGCCATAAACAGTAGCTGAGTTCATGTTGTATGCTAATCCAATGCCCAAGGAAAATGTTGTGGCTTTAATGCAGTGTGGAAATGGAATGCAGCCAAGCTCTTGTCTTCCTGACCATCTAGATGACCTAGTGGCACAGGCTAAGCAAATATTCTAAGCTCAGTATTCAGTTACAAACAATAAATTGCATACCTTAGATCAAACGTGTAGTATTTAACATATCTATCTCAAATGTGTTAAAATGTCCAGGGTAATTATACTATTAATCCGAATGGTTATAACTTTGATGGGCAAGAGCATCTAAAAGACACCTGTTTAAAATAATGTATTATATTTAAAAAATCAATCAACCAGTCTTAACACTAAAAACCCCAGGAAAAGCAAGCAACATGGCAGGATGAGATTAAACCAAGCTTTAACAATATGAATACCTAATTGGTTTTTGCAAATGGCAGAAAACTGTGGGAAACAGTGGGCAAGCCATAGAAGCTTCTTCCTGATTTTAGCCAAAAAGATGTATGTTTGGGAACATACAACTGCTTATTAGTTTTCTTAATCTAGTTCTAAATCATATCAAATGGCTGCTAGCTAAGACTAGAATGTCAGCATATCTTAGTAACAGCATGTTGAAAAATGATACTGCTTATATTTATACAGCAGAAACCCAAAAAACTGCTTTATAGTTTATTGCAGTGTGTGGACGCAGTTATGCAAAAAATTGTCAAGTAAAATCATAATTGATAATGGAATAATAATAGTATTTGCATTAACAGACTGTTGCTATTGTCTTGTACTATAAAAGTAGATAGTTTGCTTAAAAGCATAATCTAGAATCGAAGTGATAGGTCTTGTATACCGTATTTTCACGACCATAAGCCGCACTAAAAATCCTAAATTTTGATCCAAAATCGGCAGTGCGGCT